CCTCACAAGCCCTCCCTCCCCCTGCCATCCTCACAAGCCCTCCCTCCCCCTGCCATCCTCACAAGCACACCCTCCCCCTGCCATCCTCACAAGCACACCCTCCCCCCTGCCATCCTCACAAACCCTCCCTCCCTCCCCTGCCATCCTCACAAGCACTCCCTCCCCCTGCCATCCTCACAAGCCCTCCCTCCCCTGCCATCCTCACAAGCACACCCTCCCCCTGCCATCCTCACAAGCCCTCCCTCCCTCCCCTGCCATCCTCACAAGCACACCCTCCCCCTGCCATCCTCACAAGCCCTCCCTCCCCCTGCCATCTTCACAAGCCCTCCTTCCCCCTGCCATCCTCACAAGCACACCCTCCCCTGCCATCCTCACAAGCACACCCTCCCCCTGCCATCCTCACAAGCACACCCTCCCTCCCCCTGCCATCCTCACAAGCACTCCCTCCCCCTGCCATCCTCACAAGCACACCCTCCCCCTGCCATCCTCACAAGCACACCCTCCCCCTGCCATCCTCACAAGCCCTCCCTCCCCCTGCCATCCTCACAAGCCCTCCCTCCCCCTGCCATCCTCACAAGCCCTCCCTCCCCCTGCCATCCTCACAAGCACACCCTCCCCCTGCCATCCTCACAAGCCCTCCCTCCCCCTGCCATCCTCACAAGCACACCCTCCCCCTGCCATCCTCACAAGCACACCCTCCCTCTGCCATCCTCACAAGCACATAGTCTCTATGTTTGAGGAACCTGCCCGTCCTCCCTCTCCCTCCCCCTCATCTACATCACCTCACGGCTCTATCTCCATCACACACCCCCCCCCCCTACAGTATATCTGCAAACTGCAACACGTCTCTCGCCCTCCACGACACATATCGTCCCCAGCACACATGTGGGCCTGCAGTACACATGTGACCCCCCAGTACACCTGCTGGATAGGCTGGGCTGACCTAAGAAACTTGCGAACACAAAAAATGAGAGAGGAGGTATATCCACCATTAGTGTGACAGCCAGGAGGTCAGGCAGCATACGCAGCTGACTAGTCAAACAGCATGTAAACATGAGTAGCCAATACATTAGCATAATGTCTACCAACATTAGGGGGCTTCATTACAATGTTTGCCAACTCGGACACAGTTGAATACTCATAGTCCTGACCCGGTCCGTCGTGGTGGATACGTTTCTGAACACCAGGGGCCAGATTCACGAAGCAGTTACGCAAGCACTTACGAACCTGGCCATCTTTTCTCAATCTTTAGCGGCTTTGTTTACAATTATTAAATAGTTAATGAGCTCGGAAGCACCAGGAGGATGTTTATAACAATAACAACAGTTGATTGGCAAGTTTTCATGCTTGTAAACCGTTTAATAAATGTAAATAAATCCGTCAAAGATTGAGAAAAGATGTACACGTTCGTAAGTATTTGCGTAACTGCTTGGTGAATCTGGTTCCAGGACTCGTGAGGACTCGTGCTAAGCCTGCCAGCTATGTCTCGTCGATGATAGGTCAGGCAGGAAGGTGGTGTGGCAATTCGTCACAATTTGTCACCACTGACCACCTCGAAATGACGTTCAAACTTCGCCTACAACCCTTAACGTCTAAACTACTGTTGCACCGTACAGTGAGGGTCAAGGTGTATTACTCTACACGGTGTTCTCAAGTAACCTGGGAGAACATAAAGTCTCCCAAATGGTCCTCAGAGAACCTAACGACTTACAAATTATTGTCGTATACATATAGGGGCCTGGTAGCCTGGTGGATAGCGCGCAGGACTCGTAATTCTGTGGCGCGGGTTCGATTCCCGCACGAGGCAGAAACAAATGGGCAAAGTTTCTTTCAACCTGAATGCCCCTGTTACCTAGCAGTAAATAGGTACCTGGGAGTTAGTCAGCTGTCACGGGCTGCTTCCTGGGGGTGGAGGCCTGGTCGAGGACCGGGCCGCGGGGACACTAAAGCCCCGAAATCATCTCAAGATAACCTCAAGATATGACGGTGCAACTGTAGACTGCTCCAGCTGGCCACTTGTCAACATTATGTGACTGGTAGAAAAAATGTATATATATGTAGGTTATCTTGAGGTTATCTTGAGATGATTTCGGGGCTTTAGTGTCCCCGCGGCCCGGTCCTCGACCAGGCCTCCACCCCCAGGAAGCAGCCCGTGACAGCTGACTAACACCCAGGTACGGGTGTACCTGGGTGTTAGTCAGTTAGTCAGGTACTTGCTGGGTGTACCAGGTACTAACACCATATCTATTGTAATTTGTGAACTATTAGATTCAGAGCACAATGATCCAGCCGAGTAATGGAAGAATGTTCACTTTATGTGAAATATGTAATGATTAGTAGACGGTTCCCATTACCAGAGAACTTTATTAAATAATATACAATATAAAGACCATATTTACATCAATTTACACGGGGAAAATAATACATTTATATTGTATATAATTATTAGTAAACCAATTTATGATATCATCACAGAGTATGAGAACTGACCCACGATGACTGATGCACGATAGAATGTGTGTAGGCTAGGCTAGTAGCCTACACACATTCTACACACTAGGCTAGTAGCCTACACACATTCTACACACTAGGCTAGTAGCCTACACACATTCTACACACTAGGCTAGTAGCCTACACACATTCTACACACTAGGCTAGTAGCCTACACACATTCTACACACTAGGCTAGTAGCCTACACACATTCTTCACACTAGGCTAGTAGCCTACACACATTCTTCACACTAGGCTAGTAGCCTACACACATTCTTCACACTAGGCTAGTAGCCTACACACATTCTACACACTAGGCTAGTAGCCTACACACATTCTTCACACTAGGCTAGTAGCCTACACACATTCTACACACTAGGCTAGTAGCCTACACACATTCTTCACACTAGGCTAGTAGCCTACACACATTCTACACACTAGGCTAGTAGCCTACACACATTCTACACACTAGGCTAGTAGCCTACACACATTCTACACACTAGGCTAGTAGCCTACACACATTCTACACACTAGGCTAGTAGGATAATATAACACTATAATATACAGACAGAACAAGGCTAGGAACGCATGGTCATCAACTCTCCCAATCATCAATACCTACAATTACTGATGTGGAGCCCTATGCTCCTGTAGTGACCAAATATACACTTACTAACGTGGAGCCCTATGCTCCTGTAGTGACCAAATATACAATTACTAACGTGGAGCCCTATGCTCCTGCAGTGACCAAATATACACTTACTAACGTGGAGCCCTATGCTCCTGTAGTGACCAAATATACAATTACTAACGTGGAGCCCTATGCTCCTGTAGTGACCAAATATACACTTACTAACGTGGAGCCCTATGCTCCTGTAGTGACCAAATATACAATTACTAATGTGGAGCCCTATGCTCCTGTAGTGACCAAATATACAATTACTATGCTCCTGTAGTGAGCCCTATGCTCCTGTAGTGACCAAATATACAATTACTAACGTGGTGGATGATCAAATATACAATTACTAACGTGGAGCCCTATGCTCCTGTAGTGACCAAATATACAATTACTAACGTGGAACCCTATGCTCCTGTAGTGACCAAATATACAATTACTAACGTGGAACCCTATGCTCCTGTATTGATCAAATATACAATTACTAACGTGGAACCCTATGCTCCTGTAGTGACCAAATATACAATTACTAACGTGGAACCCTATGCTCCTGTAATGATCAAATATACAATTACTAACGTGGAGCCCTATGCTCCTGTAGTGACCAAATATACAATTACTAACGTGGAGCCCTATGCTCCTGTAGTGACCAAATATACAATTACTAACGTGGAACCCTATGCTCCTGTAGTGACCAAATATACAATTACTAACGTGGAGCCCTATGCTCCTGTAGTGACCAAATATACAATTACTAACGTGGAGCCCTATGCTCCTGTAGTGACCAAATATACAATTACTAACGTGGAACCCTATGCTCCTGTAGTGACCAAATATACAATTACTAACGTGGAGCCCTATGCTCCTGTAGTGACCAAATATACAATTACTAACGTGGAGCCCTATGCTCCTGTAGTGACCAAATATACAATTACTAACGTGGAACCCTATGCTCCTGTAATGATCAAATATACAATTACTAACGTGGAGCCCTATGCTCCTGTAGTGACCAAATATACAATTACTAACGTGCCCTCCTGTAGTGACCAAATATACAATTACTAACGTGGAGCCCTATGCTCCTGTAGTGACCAAATATACAATTACTAACGTGGAACCCTATGCTCCTGTATGATCAAATATACAATTACTAACGTGAGCCCTATGCTCCTGTGACCAAATATACAATTACTAACGTGGAACCCTATGCTCCTGTAGTGACCAAATATACAATTACTAACGTGGAGCCCTATGCTCCTGTAGTGACCAAATATACAATTACTAACGTGGAACCCTATGCTCCTGTAGTGACCAAATATACACTTACTAACGTGGAGCCCTATGCTCCTGTAGTGACCAAATATACAATTACTAACGTGGAGCCCTATGCTCCTGCAGTGACCAAATATACACTTACTAACGTGGAACCCTATGCTCCTGTATGACACAGAATGACTACATCATGTGGTAGGTTGGTTACACTATGCTGCCACTGAATAATGGAAAAGAAACAACAGGTAATGTTCCAGCAAATAATAACCGCCACATTACATCAAATCATAAAAAAATAATAATAATAATAATAATAATAATAATAATAATAATAATAATAATAATAATACAGTAATAATAATAATTGTATTATTTACACAAAGAAATCGCACTAACGTTGCTACAATATGATGATAATGATGATGATGATGATGATGATGGTGATGATGCAGTAATACTAGGCTTTACGTACAGTACAATAATATAAATGATCTTCATGTCAACATCTCAAGAAAGACAATGTTATGACTCGTGTATGAAGCTCAGTTATATTACTGGTAATCACACTAGGACAAAACTCATCATTCTCACCTGTAATATTTTGAATAAAATATGAATATAAATTAAGAATTTAAAGTCACAGAAAACGCATCAAAAAATCTATTTCACCTTGAACGGTGCAGCAGTTAAATTCAAAATTTCGTCTTACTAAAATTAGAGAAACTAATATGAATATTACAATGAAATTAAAAATTATCCAGAGTAAAAAGTTTAAAAAGCGACACGACGATCAAATTACCTGCTTAGCCCGTGAGGGAGCCGGTGGCTGAGTGGACAGAACACTGGACACGTGATCCTGTGGTCCCGGGTTCGATCCCGGGCGCCGGCGAGAAACATTCGGTATTTTCTTTCACCCTAATGCCCCTGTTACCTAGCAGTAAATAGGTACCTGGGAGTTAGTCAGCTGTCACGGGCTGCTTCCTGGGAGTGGAGGGCTGGTCGAGGACCGGGCCGCGGGGACACTAGGCCCCGAAATCATCTCAAGATAACTATCTCAAGAAAGATAGCTCGGCGATAAAAATAAATCAATAAGTTTTTTTGTTATCATTAGCTTGTAGAAATGTAAAATTAAGTAAAAATTTAGTTACCATATACCGGTATTATGTAGATGACAAAGATAGAAAAATCATACTAGGAGAAAAAACATGTTTTCATTTATAATTAAATAAAAATTGGAAATAATAATATATATCTATATAAATAAAAATGTTAATATTCGTTTGTTCAAAATCGCTTATCTCCGAAAGTTCTTCACCGATTGCTTTGACATTTTCACACGACGTTCAATTCGCATCCGAGCGGGTATTTATATACATATTATATACATATATAGATGTCTTATACTTTATATACATATATACTTTATATACACAATATATATATATAATTAATATATACATATAGTTAATATATACTATAATATACTATAATATATAGTTAATATATACATATATAATTTATATACACATATATACTTTATATACATAGTACATATATACTTTATATACATACTTTATATACATATATAGATGTCACGTCTGTGAAGGGGGAAAACATGCTTTCTTTTTTAACTGTGATTTTCATGTGAGGGAAATCTTCGAAACCTCTTTACCGATTGCTTTGAAATGTTGACACAACGTTGCATTCGAATAGGCGCATTTTTATATACTACTATACACATGCTTCACCTGTGACAGGATTTTTTTTTTTTTAAACAGCGCCATCTGTTGGACGTAAAAGCACACATGCAGTAATCTCCGAAAGATCTTCACTGATTGCTTTGAAATATTGACAACGTTCCATTCGAATATGCGCGTGTTTTTATATACCTACTATATAGATGCAACACCTGGGACAGGTAAAAACATGTTTTTTCTTTTCTTTTTTAAACAGCGCCATGTGTTGCACGTAATAGCAACACGTGCTATACTAAACATGTTATGATTCCATTTCAATGTTTCCGATTGCATTGATAAATTGAATTTTCATAGGTTTCGATACATTTTCATTTTGATTTAGTTATTTTGTGTGACATTGCGTTGGCATTGAGCTGTGTTGTTTACCATACTGTTCATTTCCTGAGTATAGTTTATTTTTGTATTTTGTTTTTTTTCATTTTGTTTTTTTTCACTGTTTTTCTTATATTTTAGTGATGGGAACATCAGATCATTTGATGTTCCCAATTTTCTAATGGGAACATCAGAACATTTGGGAATGTATCGGACGAGGGAGTGGGGAATGATGGGAAGGACGAGGGGACGCGGGAGTGGGGGATGGTGGGGACGAGGGGACGCGGGAGTGGGGGATGGTGGGGACGAGGGGACGCGGGAGTGGGGGATGGTGGGGACGAGGGGACAGGGGAGTGGAAAATGGTGGGGAGGACAAAGAGACAGGGGAGCGGGGGGTGGTGGGGAGGACTAGGGGGACGGGGGAAATGGTGGAGAGGACTGGGAGACAGGAGAAGGATGCTGTGGCTCAGCAACACATGTGCGTTGTTGAGCCACAGCAACGCGTGGCCGGGTACAGCTAATTTTTTTAATAAATTGAAAGTTGGAAAAAAACTACTAATGCTGGCAATGTGGAGACGTGGCAGAGGCTTCAGCACCAGACGTGTAGTGAGCCGTGCAGTCTTCATAGACAATAAACATCCCGAGAACACGTCTCATTTGTTACAACAATGAGTAGTAGGTTGTATGGTTGATACAGTAGGGCCAGCAGATACATCTGCTGGCCTACTGTATTAACCGACAAATCGTTTAAAAACCAGGTGACCATTCACTGATGGTTGAATAGAGGCTACAGTTAAGGATTGGCACCAAGAAAATCCCCCCTGGGCTGAATACGAACCCAGGCCAAAGCGCTGCAAAGCGCCAGGGAAGTGTCTTACCACTGCGCCACGTGGTTTAAGTTCTTATATTCCTATGCAGACTATGCAGATATTAGAATATCCATGTTATTCTTTTCCAATATTCTAATATCCCTGTTGGCTCCTATTTCTCGT